TAACATATTTTTCATATTATAAGTAATCAGTATGTTTTATTTTTAAACAAACATATATTTGCATGCAGGGCTTGACATTAACTTTTTTGCTCATTAGCCAATGTGGCTAGTGGTTTTCCAAAGTTAGACTACTAGCCTCACAGCATTTTCACTAGCCACATTTTTGTTGTTGGAAATTACATTATATATGATTAACGTTGACTATGGTGTGCTAAAATTGGCATGCTAAAATGTACTAATATCATCATTAGCTCTGATAAGGGTGTGTGTTGTTTTTTGAATTGCTTCTTATTGTATATACTAAAAATGCTGCATGGGTGTGAAAAATTAATTGAAAAGATAAAAACTTAACTGAAAAGAAAAATTCATCAGGAACACTGTTAATTTATTTAATTAATTTAACAGCTGTAAATACTATATAGAGTGAAATTATCTGCATTAGAAAAAAAGAGAGCAAAGAATAACAAATTATTCTTTTCTAAGAAAAAATCCACAATTAAGGCAACATGATTAAAATTTTATGTAGGCCTATATCATTTTTGTGCACTTTTGGAGTGTTTGTTTTGCATCTGCATTCCCTCGGAGCTTTGACTGGATATATGTTTATCATCATGAGGCCCGGTTAGCTCTAAGTAACTGGAGATACTTCCACCTCAAACGAGTATACAGGTCTTTAATTTCCCAATTATTCCCACACAAATGCAGCTTCTGCTTTCCTACATAGCATGAGTACACAGGCTTATTAAAACGAATCACTTCTGGAAAGGTAGCCTAGTTGTGATATGACGATATGATGTGACATAAGGGCATTCCTACTAGCAGTCTATGTTTTTTTCTTTTTTAAACACCACCATGTCCCTTAATCATGAAGATATAGGACAATTTAATTTTACAGCATTTAACGGCTGTTTACACCTGCTTTTCTCCATCTCAGCTGTGCCTTTTCTCTTTCTCTCGTTCTCCTTCTGTTGTTTGTTTTGCCATCGTCTTGAGTCTTATTCACCCTCCACAGCCAGCGTGGTTTAGTTTCTGTTTTGTGTTTTACAAGCCAATAAACCGGGAGAGTTTGTTCTGCCTCTACCACCACTGGGTGTCCTCTGTCTATCCTTCTTGCCCCGGTACAATTCACCTAACACAACGCAGAGGCCGCTTTGGGGCTCACCACTGGGAAGATAGGGTTACAACACCATCAAGTTAAAACAAGACGGGAGACTGAGGGTCTACAGATCTAAGGGACTGTGGCTGCCCTGTGACAGATTCAACTTTTATAGGCCTATTCTCGTTCGACAAAAGTCTGAATGTCATATTTGGAGGAGTGTCTATAGTGCCTATAAATTACCTCTCTGTATACTGTTAGCAGCCAAAAATCACAGTTTAACTAACAACAGTAAAAAAAAAAAAAAAAAAAAGTTAAAAAGTACTCATTGTGCAGTAAAATGGTCCATGTCATCAATATACTGAATTTGCACATCAATGCATATACAACTGCACACTAAGTTACAAAGGCTATTACTTTGTCTTTTGTCTAAAACAGCCCTCGGTCCAACGGCCAGTCCGCTATTCTCCACAGCGTCAACTTGTTTACAGTGTTGTCAATAAACACGATAGGCCTGAAGACAATAGGCAAGCCCTGTTTGCATGCTATATTTAGGCCTAAGTCAGTATATTCAAATATATTATTTTAGTTTTGTTGTGTCCTTTTTCCCCTGAATGCCCTCACAACAATAAACAAGAGGCACAAATCAATAGTCTGCTTCTTAATTTTCAATAATTTATTAAACATACAAAAAGTGCAAAATATATCAAGCCCTAATATAGTGATTACATAAAGTTATACACTGAAAAAATTGGAAATAGCTGGTCTTTGAATTTACACAAAGAAAGTTTGTATATGCAACACAATTCATTTATATTCCCTTTTTGAACACGATTGAATCAAGTAGACTTATAGTGTTTTATGTAGATTGTTGCTCTACTAGATTTTCTCGCTTTGATTGAAATCAGCCAATCTCTTTATACATCCATGATACAATTGAGTTCGATCACCACCGGAAATAGAATATATTCAAAGAGCGCCAGGAAGTGTTGAATGGCGCTCCGGATTGGATACCAAGATGCCAAGCATGGGAAGAAGCGGCAGCTCTGCAGCTACATGTCCTCCCAAGACCTCAAATTACTGAAAAGGTAAGTTTGTCAAATTGATTCATGTGTTAAAGTAGACAACATTTCCACCAACGTTAGATTCTGTTTTCGTACAGTAGTATGTAATACCCCAAATAGTCTGTCACTTGTTTGTGTAACTACATTGAAGTTGTTTTTAGCTAATTTTAGCTAAAAGCAACGCTAGCTAGTTTAGTTTGACTTTTATTTAAGTTGCGTTAACCCCTAACCCCGGGGAAATCCTGAACTGTTGTCAGCAGCGGTACCGTAGGTGGTCAGCGGAGGGTTTTTCCCCGATGGTACCGCTGCTGACAACAGTTCTTTAATGTCCCGACAGCCGTTAGCTGGTCGCTGGCGGGGATTTACGAGCTTCGCCCATTCGCTCCTGAGGGTGAAAGCAACATATTTACTTTAGTTTCGTTTTTGTTTTTTTTCATCAGAGGTAATTTAACATTGCCTTAAATGAACTTAGTGTTCTGTATAGACAATGTAGTGTAGTCTTTACTCTCCCGGCTGGTGTGCAATGTGTATTTATTGTGTGTAACGTTAAGTTATCATTATAGTTTCCTGATCCACTCTTTTGTTGTTAAACTTAAACACACTGAAAAGCCGTCCGTAAATCGTTAAGTTAACAGTTATTTAATTATTTTCAGCTTGCTATTGTTTACAAAATTGCACTGTATTACAGAAAATACTTAACGTTAAAAGTTAATATCTGTTGCATCTTGCTCTGACTTGTTATATTTGTTTGTTTGTGTTCACCTCACTGATTATACATATTTTTATAGGTCTTTCATTTTATTTGCAGAGAATGCATACTCAAAGGCTTTATAGTGGTAAGTGATGTCATTTATATTTTATTTTAAGCCCCAAATCTGGATTTTGTGACTTAGAAGTACATTTCCAAAAATAACTGTAGAGCTTCAGTTAAAGATGGAAAGTATCAATTATGTTTTGTCAGTTCATTATTGGGAAAAATTTAAACTTAAATTTTTTGCACAATAATTCACTTTACGAACAAGCCAAACAGTAAAGTCCTTGTATTTAAAGGCCTATGAATCAATTTGTAAGTAATAGCACATTTTCATCGTGTGTTTTGAATTTTGGTAGTGCAGTGGACCTTTTTGATTATATATGAATTTCACATTGGAGCTTTAATGATGTGACTAATGACGATCTTGATGTATGTTACAGGGCTAGGTGGTGGGAATGTGGAGTTGTAAGGGTTGCACAGAAACGGTGTCAAGTAGGTCCAGTCTTTTGCATCACTACAAGTTAAAGCATCCACATTTTGGACGTAGTTCTCGCTTTCCATGTACATACCTGCACTGTCAATGCACATTTAAGACATGGAATGCCCTTATAGTCCACCAAAGTAAAATTCACTCCACAGGGGTCACTTGCAAAGAGGAAGCAATATTCAATTGCCAACTCTGTGCTTGTAATGATTTAGCATCAGAGAGGGATTATTTTGCTCATATAAATGCACATCTCAAAAGAAATGAGACTGTCATTTGTATGTTTTTAGGTTGCGACTTTAAAACAAACATTTATTGCACATTTAAATCACACAAAAACCGAAAGCACTGCCATCACACTTTGGTTGATTTTAAACCCGGAGTAGTTATACGTACTAGGATATCATCTGTGAATGAATTGGAGGAAAATACTCAGGAGTTCGTCGAACAGTCAAATGTGGTCATTCCTTCAAACAGTCCCTCTCAAACTGAGGACTTGCAGAAGATCATAGAGCAAAGATTTGCAGCTGCTTTGCTGAAGTTGGAGCATTTGGACCATGTGCCCAGCACAGCTGTTGATGTGTTTTTAGGAGAACTCCATCATTTGACTTTTTCTGCACCTGTTCCATTATCTTGTGACACTGTGAGTGAGATCTTTCATCAGAGAAACCTCCCTGTTGATGAACATATAATTAGAGAAACTATTAATGCAATTTGTTCTGGTAATCCTATTCAAAGGTCAATACAAAAAGGTGGCCCTCTCAGTACCGCATATCAGCGTAAGAAGTATTATAAGGAGAACTTCAGTGTTGTAGAGCCAGTGGAATATATTCTTGATGCTAAAAACAAACGCAGTTTCCAATATGTACCGATATTGAAGTCCTTACAACAGCTGTTATGTAGAAAGGATATCATTGATGAAGTTGTCGAGGGCCATCAAAAACAGGAGAGCACATGTTCTGGAGTGTCATATCAGTTCAAGTCAGCAACAGATGGTTCCCTATTTACGGAAAATAGTTTCCTCACAGGAGAAAAGCCAAGGATCATCCTAAATTTTTATGTGGATGATTTTGAAACCTGTAACCCGCTTGGCACCTCGTGAAAGAAACACAAGCTTTGTGCTGTTTATTGGGTATTGGCTAACTTGCCTCCGGGATCTCATTCATCATTGTCATCTATCTATTTGTCAGTTTTGTGCAAAACCGATGATGTTAAAACCATTGGTTATAATCAAATCTAGGAACCTCTTCAAAAAGATCTGAAAACTCTGGAGAAGCTGGGTGTTTATGTCCCGTCGTTAGGTGAGTCAGTTAAAGGTACAGTTCTCAGTGTAGTGGCAGACAACTTGGGAGCACACAGCGTTGCAGGATTTATGCAGAGTTTTTCGGTGGAATACTATTGCAGATATTGCACAGGAAAGAGTACGGATATTCAGCTACATTCTGTTGCATCTGGTGCTTTCAGTCTGAGAACAAAGGAGCTTCATCAGGCCCATGTCAAACAAGCCCAAGATACAGGTACAGGTTTTTGTGGAGTGAAAAAGGAATGCGTTTTTACAAAAAATCTGTCTCATTTTAATGTCATCTTTGGCTACCCACCTGATCTTGCCCATGATGTTTTTGAGGGTATAATCCCAGTAGAGCTAGCTCATTGCTTAACAGTGCTTATATCAAGAAAGCTTTTCACGTTAGCAGACCTAAACAATGCCATTCTGAAGTTTCCCTACAAATGGGCTGACAAGACAAACAAACCTCATGTAGTGTCACAAAGTTTTTCTAGCTCAAAATCGGTGGGGGGAAATGCTCATGAAAACTGGAGCTTGCTCCGCTTCTTACCTTTTTTGGTTGGATCCCTTGTACCTGAAGATGAGCCTGCGTGGCTTGTTCTCATGGATCTGAAGGACATTACAGAGCTTATTGTTGCCCCTGTGCATAGTGATGACTCGCTGGCTTTTTTGGAAAGTAAAATCACTGAGCACAGGCAGAGATACAAAGAATTGTTCCCTGACATCAAGCTGCTTCCAAAACACCGTTATTTGGAGCACTACCCCCAGATGATTAGGCTGTTTGGTCCAATTGTTGGGCAGTGGACAATGCGCTTTGAGGCTAAGCATAGCTTTTTTAAGCAGGTTATCAGACACACAAGCTGCTTCAAGAATGTGCCACTCTCATTAGCCTCAAAGCATCAGATGATGATTGCATACCATCTGAGCTCTCCGTTTCTGAGCAAGTCTGACCTAGAGGTCTCTGCTATATCCACTCTACCAGTAGACTTACTCAAAGAGGAGATAGCCCAAGTCATCAGGAAAAAGTTCTCTGACACACCGGAGGTTCACCTTGCACAGTGTGTGACAACCAAGGGTATAACATATAGGAAGGGAATGATACTGGCCCACAGAGCAGTGGGTGGAATGCCTGAATTCAGTGAAATTGACCAAATCTGCATTTTACATGAGAGTATATTCTGTATTGTCAAAGAGCTATGTGGTTGGTACAGAGAGCATTATAGAGCCTTTGAACTCAGCCAAGCACCCACAAGAACATTCACTGTCGTGGCACTCAGTGAACTCCTTGATACTTGTCCCCTTGTTGACTACAAGATTGGAGCAACCCGCATGGTGACTTTGAAAAGGCATATTGAAATCAAAGGTACGCTAGCAACTGGGGGGGACAGGACAATTTGCTTCGTCTACTTTATTAAATATGGTTAGAGGATGGTGCAGCACCATCTTCTTACCTTTTGCCTGCCTTTATCACATATTTTTAAAGTAACAAGGGGTGTGTGTGTGTGTGTGTGTGTGTGTGGATAGAGATAGAGATATTTTTTTTTTATGTAACTGTTCTAACCTACCCTTTTTCATAATTCTATTCCAGGGTGTCTGCAGTTCCTTAGCCTTAAATGTCTGAAATTTTATTGTATAATGATTAAGTCTTTCAAAAGTCTAAAATTTTAATTTATTAGGTCATTTCAACATTACCTTTTTTCAATTTATTTTGTTCAAGTTACTTAGTTTCTTCTGCATCAGAGGTAGCATTTCTAATATTAAGACTCTTAAGCTTACCACTGAAGCTAATCCTGCTTTTATACTGACATGCTGGGAAACTGAGCCAGCTCACATTAGTGACTCACAGAGGGAAAACCCATAAAATCTTTAGACATACCTGTCACCATTTCTTTGTGGAAAAGTCATGATTAGAATTGTAGTAGCTGTCTAACCTAAAGGAAACTTTTAGAATTACAGTTCATATAATCATCTAGTTTAACAACCCACCATATTCCTACCTACCTAACACTGACCTCTGATGTGGACAGATTTACAGTAATAACCTTTATACTGAACTGCAGTGATGTTTTTTTGGGGGGAAAAGTGATTCAAAAATCAGTCTAAAATAGTCTTTTTAATAATCTTTTTAAAGTATTTAAATTTTATTTATATAGTGCCAAATCATAACAACAGTTATCTCATAGCGCTCATAAAAGAGCAGGTCTAGACCGTACTCTGCGATATAAACCTAAATTAGAACTGTGATCCAGTATTATTTTGGTTATCTTCCTATTTGTTAATTTTCTCTATTTGTTTATTTTTATTATAAACTTGCATACCAACCACACTCAAGCAATTGGAAAAGTATGCTTTTTAACACTGAATTTAAGATATAAAATGTATGAATGTCTGATGTCTAATTTGTGTGTCCTTGCAGAATAAACAGCTTTGAAGATGGGGACTCCTGTGATCCTTAAGATCGTCTTGACTGATGGCAGCTCTCAGAGGTTGACTCTTTCCCATGGACTCCCTGCATCCATTGATGACCTTATGATTGAAGTCAAGAAACAGTGTGGACTTCAGGGCAATTTTGACTTCAATTTATGGATTCCTTGTTTGGAAATGAGTTCCTCAACCTTACCTCAATTTCAGAAGTAGAAGACAAAGGTACTCTTAGAGTCATTGATATGGCAATGCCCCCAACTTTGCCGTATAATAATGAGATGGGTTCTCCAGTCCTAATACCCCAAGCATTCAACCCTTTGTCTTCCTCTGTAAGTGACTCTTCGTCCCTCTCAGCTGAATCTGTGGATACAGATGTACTGTCATCGAGTGAGTCGACGAGCTGCGGTCTCTTGGCCAGCTGTTTTTCATGTGCCTAAGTTCTCCTATGATGCTGAATTAAAACTTCAGCAGGCAAGTTTAGCCTATATTCGAAACGGCACTGTACTGATTCCAGATCCCAAGTTGAAGTCAGCCATCCTTGATGGTTTAGTACAGGAAATTGTACAGTATAAAGTTTATGTCAGTGATAAGGAGATGGAACAGGTAGCCCAGAGTCTTATCAAGACACATCCATGTTTAACTGAGAAGGGGTCCTGCAGTGGATGTGGCGGATGGAAGACCAGTTTAAAATATAAACTATCTAACTACCGCACACACCTGAGAAAACTGGGTTGCCCAGAGGTAACAGTGAACTCTTTAAAAAACAAACCTGCAGGAAGATGCAGTGCAGCCTTTGGTGTCAAAAAGGCAAAGAGAGCAGAGGTGAATTTTTGCCCGACATACCCAACAGCAGAAACTGAGGAGAGTTGAGGCCATGCAGAAAGCTCTACTATTAGATGTAAAGAAGAGGAACAACAGGGAGGTTGTGAAACTCAAGATGGAAAAGACTTTTGCACACAGAAGCCCTATTTGACGTCACTGAGGTAAGACTTATTTCATGCTGTATTTTTCATTTTGCATTTGCTGTTGATAAAAGGACAAAAGGTCTTGGTACATTGCTAATATACCTGATTGTATATTATTTGTCTGTGCTTTATCTCCCTCCTAGACTGTCGTGGTCTGCTGAATGTGTGATAGTGGCTTTCTCCTGGATGTCTACAGTTTGAACCTGATTCCTTTGTGCTTATTACCCGTTTTCAGATCAACGCTGAATTCAAGAGAATCACCACCGTCCCACTTCAATCCAAGTTCCTGTCTCAGCTGGATCTCCACTCTGACAACCTGATGAGGCTGTTCCAAAACAGAGGAGGACAGCTAGGGAAAAGGCTACAAAGAATCATTGCACAAATGGCAGATGTAAGTGGTACAGGGCTCCCACAGTCATGGGAAAACTTAAAAACATTAGGAATTTGATTGCTTTTTGAAAAACATTAAAACATTCTACCTTTCTTCCAAATGTCTTAGTTGCCACATAATTTATTGGCATTCAAACTGTAAGTGCATTTCTTTTTCATCTTGTTGTCTTAGTTTTAACCTTTCTTCTATTTACTTTAAGGGTTCTCCGATCGATCGTTCACCAATCGTTATCGGCCGATAATTGCTTTAACTAGTTTGATCAGTGGTCTCTAAAAAGGCAGATCAGAAAAGCCTATCAGATGATGCAATACGCGCCAGACAAATTTTCAACGGCAGCTAAAATGGTTTCACTACGCAGTCTAAGCAGTTTTCAAAGCTAGCTAGCACCAAAGTCCTTTTCAGACAGGAAGCGAGTGATGTGCTCCAGATATCATTTACAATGAGAGTTGAGCAGCAATCAGACAAGCGGAGCAACAAGCAGGAGGATCATGTGAAACTGTCACGGTTGTGCTCATCTCACACACACATGCCTGCCCACTACCAGAGTTTAATTGTCTTGACCCACAGCGCATCAGAGAGAGTGACTGATCTTTCAGTGTGAGTTTCCTGATGCAAAGAGAGAGAGGGCCCTTTAGCAGCTCAGGCACCACTCAATCACCTGATTTAAAACGGGGAGCTTTTGCTACATTTCCGCCTCAAGTCCAGATAAACCAGCAAATCCGAAGACCTAAAACGGAGAAGTTTGAAAACGTGCTGACCCCGTGGGCAAAAATAGAGGACTTTAAAAACACTCACACAGACACTCACATTTGGCTTTCTGATTCGGTCTTATCAGTCATGCAAAGCAAAAAGTTAAAAAAATCTTATTCGATTGTATATCGTTAACTGTCTTTAAAAAATGTAGTAGTGTGGATGTAGCCTCACATTGGTCCGCTCTACTCCTGTCATGTCAACCCTCCCGCCTTTTTTTTCTGTTCTCAGCCAGTATCCTCCCGTTAAATGTTTCCCTATAAATCTCCCATATTTTTAACCTTTATAAAATAAAATCAAATTTTAAGTGTTACATTCTCTGGTAAAGCCAGTGGCAATAGGCCTATGTAAAACATTAGATGTAGACTGTGCTTCTTGCACAAGGATTTAATTAATGAAAACAAGCCACTGAAATAATATTAGGCATATACTAGTGGTAAAGTACTAACAGTATAATATGGAATTAACATTTTTATTTAGTTAAATTTCCCTTATTTTCAAATCCCAATAGTGACAGTTATGACTCCTCTCTGTAGCCCACTCTCCCTCTCTCTACTCCTCTCTCTACCCCCTAAAACCCACAGAACCTGCCTGAGCTTTCCAGAACAAAAAGCAGCTGTTTCAGAGTTTATCATCGACTCATGATGCCTGTGCTCCTTTATCTCCTAAAATTTTTGTTGCAGTTTTTATAGTTGAAGTAAATTTATAAAGATGCTGTTTGTTCTGTTTTTGTAGTTTATTTCACAGGAAAGCTATATTTGTTAAGCTAAAAAAATGTTTGCAGTAACCAGGCAAAGGCTGCTATGGTTTAAGTCTCTAAGAGAGAGAGAGTGGAATTTGTTGCCCATGTTTCCTGGCAATAAAATAAACAGTTGTCATTTCATGATACTTCATTTAATTAGTCCTAAAATTAACAGATGACAAATACACAGTATACTGTATAATGGGGATGAAACGGTATGAAAATTTCAGATCACAATTGTAGTGACCGAAATGATCACGGTTATCAGTATTATCACATTATTGTAAAAATGTTCTGAAAAAGATCACAATGTACTGATACACACACCGAAACCATTTCAATAAGATTTATATTGAAAACTACAAATAAAAGTAACATTTTGTTTGCATAAACAATAAAATAACAGCCAATACTTTTTTTTTAAACATATGAAAACCATCTAAGTGTGCTTTATCAAGATTTTATATTCTGTAGATAATGCAATGACCTCATGCTCAATTACATGAAAACAAATAAGTCTTTAGAAGACAACAAATGACATAAATACAAAGCAGTCTGCAGCGTTTCTCCTGACACTTTTACAACTAATTTGACTGGATTTAAAATGAATGAATATGCTGGTTAGTTGACTGAACTCTGTAATGTGTTATCATATGCAGTTGATGAATAAAGTCTGCTGACACACGACGCACACAGCAACAGTACAACCTGTAGCATTTTTACAAGAGCAGCAACACGGAGAGCTTCAGTTTACAAACTGTTAGCAAGTCAGACAGACAAACCAAAGCTAAAAGTTAACTCACCCTGCTTTCACTATAAGCTCATTTGCTTCAATCAAGTTTCCCTCAGCACTCTCATAAAAACTAAACTATGACCAGACTTCAGAGCGACTGAAAAATCTCCACAGTGTTGTCTTCTGCCATGTTGTCATTGACCCAAACAAATCCACGTTGCGTTCTGCACATGCGCACCTGCTTCTGGGAGACTGTCGCTTACTTTGATTGATGCTGGACAGTGTTTGCTGTGAGTTTATAATAGTGCGGTAACCGAACCCGGTTATCATGGTAATTAAAATGTGTATGGTAATAATAACCGTCGGGAATTTTACCATGGTTTATCATTAAATCGGTAATCGTTTCATCCTACTGTATAATGCTACATGATAAATAAAAGGCTTCAAATAGACCCGGTGTTCGGTAACGGACGATACTGCTTTCGGTGATCGTAATCGGCCCAAAAAACCCTGATCCGAGCACCTCTAATTTACTTATTTATCTTCATAGTTTTCTCTACCTCCTCTTTCCTGCCAATCTACTTCCTGCATGATTTAGAGCTCACAGAAAGGCTTGTACCATAATAGGGACCCTGGTGTTATGTTCTCAGAGAAATATGTACTCTTATGACAGTTTACAGCAGTAGTTGACTTTAAAATAAAGCAGAAGAGCTGCATGAAGACAATAATTAAGTACGTTTCCTTTCAGTGTGATGATGTAGATACTGGACGAGAGTGTATCATTAAGGGAGTCTGTATCTACATGGGTGAAGATCCAGAAAACCTTGTGCGGGAATATGTGGTATGTACATGAACTGGTGCTTACTTTTTCTCTTATCTTCTACTCTTCTATTGTCCTTCTCCTTGATCATTTGAGCTGAAATTATTAATTGATTGAGAGAATGTATTTATTATTTTGATGTATTACATTTTTAGTTTTATACCATTATAAAATCAATACAATGTTTCTTGGTTACTGGTCAATCTAACAAAATTGAGACATGACTATAGACTCTAATGCTTTATTTAAATAAAGATCAAAAATGTCAAATAGCCTATATTTTAAAATTAATCAGGAAACTGTAGGCCACACCAAACAACATAATGAACACATTTAAATAGTTGTACAAGGCCTATTCATAGTTTTCAGTCACATGACATTTGCGGTACCTGGGGGCAAAACAACAAACCAACACAACAAATCACGCCGCAACTCCCCTGTAGAGACGCCGCAAAAGCATTTACATTTATTTGGATCACCTCTCAATTTAAGAAAAAGAAAGATATGAACACAAACTGCAAGTGTCGGCACTTCGAATCCATGTTACAGCATCCGATCCGCATTTCTATCGTCAAAAAGCGCCCTGCTGCTGCTCGACTGTCGTAATGTTTACGTTTGGCTTGTGGGGAATCCCTCACCTAACACAGCTCAGGCTTTTCTCTTTCTCGATTAGTGCATCAGAAAGTACAACTATCATCCAGCATTTTGGCAATGCAAAAGTAAAAAAACCATAGTAACAGTGTATCACTTGCTTTCCGGTTGGCAAGCAGCAAGAAATAACTTTTTTTGCCCTCCAAGGGAGCGGCTCAACCAATCGCCCTCTGGACTCTCACCTCCGGTTCCCCCTGCTCTGCACAGCAGACTAATTTTGTGTATTCTAAAGAAAAAAAAAAATGTTGCCTATAGGGCTGACCCCAAATAGTCGAAGATTTTATGCTTCGATGGGTGTAGCCTGATTCTCACAGTCGAATCTTGTAAAAGTAGGATCACGCCAT